ACAGATTCTACAGCTATAAAGTTAATGTTTGATAGCTTTATCAGCGTCCCTCGTTTGGTAAATAACCACACTCACAGCTCAGTGGCAAAATACTTGTAAAAATAAGAAACAATTTATCTCTTGTTATCTATTATTATTTATAGTGTTCCTCCGCACGTACCTCTGACTTTATTTTAATTTGTCTATATTCTCACGAGAAACCAACATACCAATCCATTCAAACGTCTTTCCACCTTTTCTGTCCAGGTATAGCTTCCACCTTTAGTTTCACACCGCTCTATATCTGACAATAATCGAATCTGGACCAAACAATCCAGTGATCGACATCTTGGGCATCGATCTAGACATCTGGGATACGATGACATGTGTCAGCGAGCCTGACCACTCGATCCCGTTCGACGCCTCTTGCGATAAGCATGGGCTGCTGAAGACCGGTTCTAACTTCGATCTCATTATCAGAAAGAAATCTCACAATATAAGACTCAGATATAATTATGGTTCAGTCGGTTACATCCCGATATGATTAGTTACCAAATGAGAACTATAGGTTTGTTTAACATTTAAATACTTGGTATATCCATAGTTTGATTACATAAAGTAAAGCCATAATACCCTACTTGATCATGAATCAACCATATTGCCCATTAACATACAACGTGCCACGGAAACCATATGCAAAATTTCCACCTCCAAGCCAAATAACCCTACATGTGGCCTGTCAGCGTGACTCCACCAAACACTCTTAATTCTATTCCTTGAACCCTTTCAAACCCTCCTCTCTAAACACGAACCACGATCATCTTAGCAACAAATGATAACCTCTCTTCCTTTCTCGATGCCAAGTGCTTACGAGACAAAGTATATCCACGTGTATAGCCGATAGCATGTGGATACAGACACAACTCTCTGCAGCCAAGGTAGGAAACCTGCAGACATTCTCGGATCCCTCTTGATTATATCAGAAGCACGCAATGCAATGATAACCAGGTCTGTCAATACTACAAATAAACTTTAAAATACCAGATCTAATCACGAACTCACATTAAAGTTCATTCTTTACACAAGTAAGCAGTTTCATATTCATAACAGGAACACCTGGTTTATGGTATTTGAAAATTAAAAATGAAATATTGATGATGTGTAATACACCTAAGATAACTTATTGGAGATCACGTGAACCTTAAATTAAACATTTCTGAGTGTACTTTGCAGTCATGTGGACAAGTGGATGTTTAAGTACATGGACAAAACACTGATACATGTACTTGTAATGAGAAATTAGAAATTCCTGAGTGAACTTTGCAGTCAGATGCTTGAGTGGCATTTTAGAAGATGATATTTGATGAACATAGACATTTGTTTTCTGGGTTACATAACAATTTTTACACATCGAGAATAAAAGAAGATGACCAGAAAAAAATCTCCCTGAAACTGGAACAATGCAGCAATTGTTTAATGATGACATGCCCTGAAACTTAACAATGCAGCAATTGTTCCATGAATCACTAATCACTGAGCAGGACGCTAGACATTTTAAAAAGGGTTGGGTATATTACAGGACCACTAACAAAGAAGGCTTTCTGTTGGTTTTTTTAATTGGGAGAAAACAAAGACAATAAACCTGCATTATTTAAAAACACTGGATAAGAAGATGTGGCCGACGGCATGTTCGGTATGTTTGTGGGATGTGATACGTGTTGGGTCAAGCAAGAGACAATGCTAGCTGCCGTCACACGACGAACCTGTTTCTCTTTTCGTATCTTATGAGTACAGATTTCCATACCCCAAGTGATCCCCAACAGTGAAATGTAACCAAAGGATAACATCGATATTGTAATACGCCCAAGGCTACAAATTGTTAACTTGACCAGTCAAAGGATAAACCGTGTCAGTGAAATGCCCCCAAACAGATGTTCTGTGACTGTAACGTGCCAAACGATTACAAAGAGTCACTGTAAAGTGCCAATTGCTTACAAAGAGTTACTGCAATGTGCCCAAAAAATTAAACAATGTCACTGCCATGTGCTGAAAAGGCAATATACCCTGCTAATGCGTCAATGTAATAAACAGCTACAGCAATGTATTCAAAGAATAAACCGAGTGACTGTAATATGCCCCCAGAAAATATAGTGTCACTGTATTGTGCCCACAGAACAGTGCAGCTGATATGTGCCCAAAGAATAATCAACGTAACGGTTAAGTACATAACGAGTAAATAATGTAACTGTAATATACATAAAGAATACGATGATTACAAAAAGTAAATAATGTTACCGTAATGTGCCCAAAAATATATGCTACACTAATGCGCCCAGAAATATACAACGTTACTGAAATGTGCCTCAAAATAAACGTTACTGAAATGTGCCCAAAGAATAAACAACGTTACTGTAATGTGCACAAAGAATAAACAACGTTACCATAATTTGCCCAAAGAATAAGCAATATACCCAATAAATAACATGCAGTTCATGAAGTTCGTCCATCCTGCTGCTTCTAGTTTAATATTGCAACAATGCTAAATATGTTAATTTACTCTGCACTCTGCCGAAAACCATAAACATATGTATAGTTAAATGCATTTCTGTTATAATGTTTACCTATGGACCTGTTATATACACGATATGAAACTTGAAGAAATCAGCCTAGAAACAGAATAGTGATGCACGTGCGACCCTTATATTACATGACAGTGGTGATTCTATATTCTCTCACCATATGATGGGGACGAGTAATATCTATATAATAAATATAATTATAATCTACATTAATAAGATCACAAGGACCAGCAGAGACACAACGTTGTATAGAGATAACTAGATTCATACGATTGCTGTGTTTTGATACGTAGTTACTGTAGCATAAAACAAAACAGAGCTTACAACTTTTACGATACCACTAAACGGGCAACACATGCTATTTATGCATTTTATTACAGATGCATGCAGATATAATGCATGTTATAAAATAAACCAGGACTGCGAATGGTGTAAGATTCTGTTATGTTAGTTATTTTTCAAGATTATTGACACAATATATTTAATACGACACCCTCCGACATTAACATTTAACAAGACATAACAACTGACCCGCTATCGTCTATTGCCATATTAGCCGTACACGAGAGCAAATGTGTTTAGGTAAGTAAAAAATCGAACGAAGATCAAAGATTAAATAACTTCGTCAGAATGGGATTTTGTTCCAATCCGACGTCAAGCTTATTTCTTTTAATATAAAAACCACAGTCACATTCAGCTCTGGAAACCAATATCCCAACTAATTATCATTCCTCAGAGGCGCTTTTGCCGAACAGCGAGACTATGTATACATACAAAGCGTGTTCCTTTCAGCTCCTGGGGAACACTGTTTCATATTAATTTACCGATGTAAGAACTCGTTTCTTTCAAGTCGAAGAGATCAAAACTCACGCTCGGGTATAGGTTCCCAAACAATAACACAACTAGCCTTGCAACCGTAGCATCTTAGAACTGCGCATGTACGGAAGTGCCAGCTAGGATCGCCATAATCACGCCAGGCGAAAAAAGGGGAATTAATTTTCTGTTGGGTTGAAATAGTGTTAACAAGGGCGGCTTTGAAATGAAAACCCGTGCTGTGTTCTAAAACATTTCGTTAAGATGTGGATCTGATGTATGTGATATCACACATATGGATTCTAACTTCGGAGAAACTATGCGCTTTCGCCAGTTATGCAGAGCAATTAATTGTCCCCAGAGATACTACACTCATGAGTAGTGATGCGACGCACCTTCCTGCTTTAATGCTAGCATTATCGCGAAAATGGTATAACCCTCGACGAATGTGTTTTAAAAACCACAAAACCACTTTGTAATCAAAAGATTACTTTTCAAAGACACTTTTGCTCTTCTTGAGATTTATATCACAAGTTTGATTATAGTTTAAGATATCGAAGTAGCATGTTAAAGTTAGTTTCTTTGAACATATTATGCTATATTTGATATGCTGAATGCACCAGTGAAATATTTCAGGGATCTCCGTCCAAGTGTAGGTTGGCTTTGATCATTTAATGAGCATGAAGATTTGAAAACAGTGCAAAAACATTAAGGTGTAAATGATCACATCCTCATTTTAAGCCAATAAGTATTCATGAGAACATTATCCAAGATGTATCGTTTCAAATAAAACTGAAATTTAAGTTGATCAATAATGATAATAAGCATAACTGAAAGTAGATTATCATAGTGCAAAGACATTTTCTGAACACGCCCATAATCACTGAATCACATTTCATTTCAAAAGTCCTATAATAAGGCACAATTATCTACATTCTGATGTTATGTCGACATTTACAAATTGGAAAATAGTATATATGGTTACTCACAGATGTTTAGGGTGTGCAAGGAACATACTGAGATCATGTACCTGTATTGGATGTTTAGTGCTAGAAACATACTGAGATCACGACCCTGTTTGGATGTTTAGTGCTAGAAACATACTGAGATCATGACCCTGTTTTGGGTGTTTAGTGCAAGAAACATACTGAGATCATGACCCTGTTTTGGGTGTTTAGTGCAAGAAATCTTCTGAGATCATGACCCTGTATTGGGTGTTTAGTGCAAGAAACATACTGAGATCATGACCCTGTATTGGGTGTTTAGTGCAAGAAACCTTCTGAGATCATGACCCTGTATTGGGTGTTTAGTGCAAGAAACATACTGAGATCATGACCCTGTATTGGGTGTTTAGTGCAAGAAACATACTGAGATCATGTACTGTTGTAGGTCTTTAATCCAAGGAAATGTAATGAATCAATGTACTGAGAAATCTGCAGGGAATCTGACAACAGAAAAATAACATTAAAGGCACTGGTTTTTGACGAAACAGAGGACAATACCCGTCCGTTTACCATATACTGTAATGTCCTACTATTCGGGTTGCTGCTATATACTACGGTAATTTAAGCAAAACTCACTTAATGCCAACATTTAGTGTAGAGCAGCTCTGGACAAATGTGCACTTACCTTAGGTACATAAATGTTTAGGTATAAGCAGTCCTCGTTTGTCCTGTTGAAACCAGGGACGAGGTACTCGATGTAGCTAACTCCGACTTTTGGTTGAGGACAAGCCGGGGGAAACTCCAGTGCGTTGATTTCTCCCCAGTGTGGAGGGGGAATCGGAAACTGAAACAATACAATACCCTTTAAGACAAATTATATAACAATAGCAAGTGATTTAAGTTTAGGCCTCTTTTAGCAATATTCCAGCAATATCACGGCGGGGAACACCAGAAATGGGCTTCACACATTGTACCCATGTGAGGAATTGAACCCGGGTCTTCGGCGTGACGAGCGAACGCCTTAACCACTAGGCTACCCCACCGCCCCTCTATATAACAGTAACAACGTCAAACTTCAAACCATCATTGTAGGAAATCTGTGATGAAAGCAGAGTTTATAGCTCGATGCCGATTATATCAGAACATATTTTCATGAATCACTAACAAATATGGCTACAGGGGAAATGGTTGTGTCATGTCCCATCGGCGGCAGTCGTCACTAAAACACATGCAAAGGCAAGGAAACTTTTCACCTAAACAAATACACGGGAAGATATGGAAATACATACACACTGATCAATTTCCTTTTAATTTTGTACGAAAATGTCTTCCTGATAATAAGGACAGACTCAAACAAACTGTGGAGCTGAGGATACATATGCGTGAGACTAAATCAAAGTTGGGGTAGAAACTGTCAAATTTCAGATTTCATTCCTATGTCAATAATGATTATATACTACTGCTATATTGTTTGTTTTAAAACGTGGCCTAGTTGTAATACAAATGTGTTTTAACATCAAAACAGGTTTTGGTGTAATGGATAAATGTCTTTGTATTTCGGCTATGTTCGTGTATTTCCGTCAGAGAATTCTCGCCAAACATCGTTGCTTAATGATCAGGGTATCAGTATTTATGGATGATCTATGTAAGGAATAAAATACGTGTTAAACGTCCTAATATTTGTTTATTTTAATCAGCTGCCCGAGATCTGTATCAATGGTTTTAAGTGTTTATGTACACGCATGTACCCAAATCTCTCCTTTGTTATTTTATTTCGCCCCGAGATCTTTGTCTTTTATTCGTCTTAACATTTATTACAGCTGAACAAATCCACCAATGTTAAGAGGGCAATAAAGAGTCGTATTTCACATTGTAATTGGGATCAAACAGCCAACATAACAAGTTGCATCGCTATCTTCAAGTATGGCCCTTACGGTTAACCATACATTTTCACAGCCTTATGCTCAAAGGCCGATAACGTAAGGAAGTGGATAAAATACTTAATTACAACAAGTTTATGTATGTATTTGCGTCACTCAAAGCCTTGTTATTGCTCCTTTATGCTCTCGTTCGCGTTGTTTTATGGGTCCTATAGCAGATTACGGCAATCAGATAGGCAGGAGTTGAGCTACAATCCCGAAGGAAAACATTATAAATGCCATTTTTCTTGAGACCTGCAACCCGGTCTTCTGTACCAGCTTATTGGGACAAACTTATTGAGAGACAGGAAGACATTTTGACCTAAGACCAAAAAGAACAATGATATTATACGGAATTCCCTTCCATTGTTCTTGCAGTTTTAATGAGGTGCATGTGCATGTAGGTAAGCAGTATGCACGATAACGATTAATGAGTTATGGCCTTTCTTATCTCAATATGTCGGTTTTTTACTTGACTGGTATCGCCATTGGAATGCGCGACCGTCTAGGCGCATTTAGCACCAATATATGTGCAGGAAGCCAGTCAATGCTTCAGTTCTAGCAAATGGTTCAGTTAAGCCTCCTTCAATGTATTTACGAATTCGCAATCCAAAATAACTAATTTGACTGTTGATAAAAAATATTCTATCTGAAGAGGACAAATTAGCTGTGATAAGAAATATCTGTACATGCCGTTCCTTAAAAATGAAATGTCAGAAATTAGGAAAAATATCATATTTCTACAAAACAGAGAGAGAATAATGTTGCATGGTTAGGCCCACTGACTCGCTGAATGAATATCATCGTATCTAAAGCTGACTAGATCTATATTCTTGATATTAATTAGTCACTGGACTGTCTGGTTGGTTGGTTGGTTGGTTGTTAAACGCCGCACTCATCAATACTCCAGCTGTATGGCGGCGGCCTGTAAATAATAGTCCGCCAATTCTAACCCGGATCTTCACGGAAGGGACTGTCTGGTTCAGACTCGAATATTTTCAGACCAAGGTCATACTTAGAAAGGAATGCGGCACAAAACAACAAACAAACGTCAGAACAGATTCGAAAAGAATATGTCTTAAACAATCAGTTTTTCCACGATGACATGCAGTATTTGTTTTCAAGAAGAGCTCCTATACCACGTGTGACAACATATGTTGCAATCCGACAAGAAACTATATGGTATAAAAAGGTTGGGATAGGATCTGCCAAACAAATTTGGCATTGCTACATTATATTACTGTCTGGTTTTAATGACCGATACCATCACTGAAAGAACATAATGTAATTCATTGCAACGAGCACTTTCATCCAGATGCCAAACAAACTGGTAAAATTGTATGAGAAAATATTTACCAGTAACCTTTCGTGTGGTATTAAGCATTTTTCCGAAACTGTGCCCATGGATCCAACGGTTGTCGTTAAGTAGATTGCTTCTGAATGAATCATTGTATTTTGAGAACGTGCATGCATCATGTCATTCGGGTACCTCGTTACATGGTTAACATACACGCGAACTTGGCCTTACATCATACTGTCAGATGAAAGCCAGACTATCAAGACCGTTATGTTTCGACTTAAAAAATCACTAACCCCTGATGCCCAAAAGAAAAGCATGTGGGCAGGTTTGCTATGTGGGACTTGATACACAGCGGCTATGTTTACATTCATGTGTCTCTTTTCGATAACAATCTTGAAATGTACCTCCTAGGAACAAAGTGAAAATTGTTTGAAGTTTTTTTAAGCTTTGTTTTTAATGTAGATGTTTTAAATGGGTGTTTAAACAGTGAAGCTATTTTGGCCAATCTGGAAACCCACATGACAAATTATCTACCATATACGTGTGTTGATCCCAAAAGTCATGCACGAATTACTACTCGTATATGACAATGTTTCCCTTGCAGTGCTGGTGATGATAAGGCCACACAAACAGAGTCCTTCCTTCTGGTACCGCCCAACACGAATATCCCTGCTTGATGGAATCAGTTTCTGTTTTTCTTTTGCGACGTATTTCATAACCCTGACCGATTCGCAGTAAATTCTTGGTGAGGACAACATTACAGGACGAAACAGTAAGCAAAGAAAACACATACTGGAATAGTTTTATTAAAGTCACGAGTTTTAATGGTTTATCATGCTTCAAAACATAAACTTATGAAATAACATTGTGTGACACTTGACATATTTTTCGGATACGGAAGACGAAATGAGGACTACCAAATTTGACGCATCAGTGAGATGAAGTATTTCCAATGCAATTTCCTATTGTACCAGATGTTCCGGTGTTGTTTATTCAGTGGAACAATTCATTGGTGTTTGTGATGGTGCAGGATACACTCAAGCGTTCGACACCTGGTGACGGCGCTATTCATATGGATTCATGGTAAAGTCGGAATGGTATAATGAACCTCGTCTTGTGAATGTGAAATGAGTTTTGTCGTATTTATGTTTATGCATTTATCAATGGATTATATGGGCAAGTTGAATTCATATTACTGTATCGTCGGTAGAAAGAAATATATTTCATAGATGTCAAATGTTCATAGAGACAGGTTCACATAGAAGTGTGCACTTTAAGAACCCACGAATCCGTTGGTAAATGAGCAGATGGTGGTCACATGGACACGTGCAAACACCTAGTTGCGGGTACAGCAACGTGCAGTAACACTTGGACAAAGTACTGTGACTATGTGTCCCAGTCCTCCCAGCTGTGAATGTGTACCTCGTACGGATTGGAAAGCCACATTAACTTGGTGCGCCTAGTGGCTGCAAGAGTCGTATGATTCTCAAGGGAGTTGAGGTTGATAATACGATGTGCCGTTTGAGTTTGACATCCAATGATCGAGGGAAAATCGAAGCGCCTTTGAGCAGCTAAGCTGGATATTGGCGCTATACAAATGTTAGAATAAAAATAATATCTGTTTTTGTTTGTTGTACTTTGTGTAGTTAGTAATTAGACGTAATTGTATATTCGTAAGAAAATACTGTCATACCTTCAAATATGTATTAAAATTGTTTTCCTTGTCAGTGAAATCAACACAGTTCTTCAACTAAGGTTGGCATGGTGATGTGACATCTTACTCATAGAACAGCTTTAAACATGTCGTTGTCATGTAAACAAGGACGCTGACTGATACGGGCTTTACACAAAACATGATATACGTCCAAAGGAATTGCTTCTTCTGTTACTCGTCGTACCCATGGCTGCCTACGTGCGTAACAAAGCGTTTAAGACGATTCAGATGAAGTTCGTATTTATAACGTGATTCATACTTTTAACAAATTACCTAGTTGGACGTATTTACAAATAGCTTCCTTCTTCCATTCCCACGAGAATTTTTTTTAATCCCATGAGAACTGTTTTATAAATATATAGGATATGTCTCTTTCAAATGCAGTTTTCAAGGAAGGGTAACAACGGGTAACAGTGTTCACCTCTCTTTATTTATTAATAAACACTTATTTCGACTGCATGAAATACCAGACACAGAATACATGGAGATATTGTTTTGAAAATTATTCCATATGTTCAAATGACTGACAGCAACTCTTGTGTTTTCATACACTTAAATAATGACGATTGCTTCATAAACTTTACGAGTATTAGTCAACTGTATAGAAAGAGAACGAAGAAATGTCTTAAAAATCGCTAATGAATAGAAGCAGCATAATTTGTAAAATCGTAAGAATCTACAGTTCTGTATACGATTTTGACTATGTCATATATGTTTATGAGTCACTTTGAACTAGAGATGATACCAATTGTTCATTAAATGATGGGTGTATCCGCTGCTATAGATGACATCCGTCACAAACACATGCAAGTACATGTCAATTGTTAGCCAGAAAAACATAGAGACATGTGGCAAGTCAAACTAGTGAACCGAAAGTGTACTAAAGTCAGACTCATTTTTTAGAAGATTTT